CACTTGCTTCTCTACATTTTTATTGTTCCTGCCCTGTCTGTTTGTCAACGAAAAATAGAATATTTCTATATCTCGCTCGTGCGCACAAAATACCATCGGTTGATTTTCAAGTATAAATCGGCATTTCTTTTTTCGGAACTGAGTACTCGTAAGCTAAACGCCTACTGTTCAATTTTCTGTCGAACAAAATACAAAATACATTCGTTTCCATACGAATATCATCCTTGATTTGGTCGACGGAAAATTTAGTTGATCTGAGTATCAGCTTTGCCATAATGCTATAATGCAATGTCTTTCAATTTTCTAAGTCTTCAGTTAGGTATTCCATACTAGAGTGATGACCTGAAGCACTAACCATACAGGGATATATGTATAGGGATGTAGGCATGCATGATGGAAAGCTCGGGCGAATCTGATGAGAAAGACAAAAGACATCCACACATCAAAATATATCCCCATACATCCAAATACATCCCCATTCATCCATGCATACACACCATGTAATTGCGCGCCCCTTGGGTTACCATCCAACACCAAGCCAACTGTAATTTTGAATAACCCCATAGAATGAACGAATATGTATAATAAACGGTTATTTTTTAATTGTAATTCATAATAGACTTCATATTAGAATAATTCCATGAGGGTATTAAAGGTGCGCGAATTTGACAAGTAATTTGAAATATAAGCCAATTCTTTAAAATCAACATAGATATATACATGTATTTAATAACATCTATAAATGCAATTATATGGATCGTAAACACAGTTGATATTACGGCAGCAACGAATACAATACATTTACGTAACCTGGAAATGAAACTCAAAACAAACTCAAAATGGTTTCGGAAAATAAGAATTGATAAATATATTGTCGTGTCTGTTTACACACATATGTACATTTGCAATGCTCAGCTTGTTTTCGCTTCCCGCCATGAGTCATACATACCGAACGGCCCACTCCCGACCCGAATGGCCTGGCTTCCGACCCGAATGCCTCTGCTCACAGAACCGAAGACCCTGGGAGCTGGGACAGAAAACTCAGCTGCGACACGTTCGGTGTATGAACTGGCACATCTATATACTGTATGGTTAGTGCCTGAAGGCTGATCAATCTTTTCAGCCTTTTCTTTTGCTGGATATAAGCCAACTTTATTTGTTTGCCTCAGTCCGTTGGTTGCGATCGGATCTTTATTATAGGCGCAGCTTTGACTTGGACTGTCGAATTGTAAGATGCAGAAGTAAAATCAACAATACCTAATAAAACATTTTTACTGCAGTGTTTACATATTGTTATAATATAAATTAACCTACAAATTAAGTAAATACTCGTATGTATACATTTTTATACCGTACTCGAAGTGTTAAGGACTATATTAGATTTTTGATGATGAGCGCCTAGATCTCAGAGACTATAGAAGCTAGAGCAATCAAATTTTGTTTCCAGACACATGCGAAATTAATTTACATTTGCTATCACCACCCCTCTCTCATATGCAATTAGATACAAATTAATCAGACAGGCTCCGGTATTCACTTTCACAAAAAATGTGTGATTTACTGCTCGAAACGCAAGACTTTTCTGTTTTCCAAACGGCAAAACATTTCTCGCCGAAACGAATTTTGATTGCAAAAGGAAAAAAATAGATGACTTATTTAAGCAATTGAGCTTGTAACCTTTTTATAAATAACTAGCGGACCCTGCGAAGGTTGTCTCGCTCCATTTTAACGCCTTCAGATAAACTCTAGATTGATAATAAAAAAAATAATTCAAATACAATGGCTCTGGTGGATGAGTCAAGAAGGGAATTTTTACCTCTCCACCAGCGCAGCATATGCCGGGGGTTTCCGATTGAAACGTTAATGCAATGCTGGCATACAATAGACAATGAAACGATATCAACGCAACGAAGATCTTGGTAGGCTATTGCACAATCGTTATCGATTGTTTGTTTATTCGGCTTTGACAAATGCCGCTTCGCCTACTAAGCAGGCATTAGGCAAACAAATAACTCAATTGATGAATAATAACTCGAGTTTAGAACGCATATTCAACTATGACAACTGCCTCTTCGCCTACTATTGTACGGCTGAGATTCCACAAAAGAAACAAATATAAAATCACGCTTTTCGCGATCGAAGGTTGGTTTTTCTAAAACTTTCTTTTATAAAAACATTTTCAGCAAACACGAACAGCTGGATAAAATTTGAGCCAAATCGTCCCGGCCGTTATAAAAATCAATTCTTTTCGGTTTCGATGGTTTTTCTTTTGTAAAAACATTCTTCGGGCAAATACGAACAACTGAATACAAATTTAAGCCAAATCTGCTCAGTCGTGATGATGCACTATACATTTTTATCTCTCCATTTTTATATATATCGAATTTCTTTTATCCTACCTCAAAATTGGATCTAAAAAATTTGGTCTGTGCAACAAGAAATAGTTAATTGCTCCGAACAGCTTTGGCAGCCCGAATTGGATATTGATAAATCTCTGTTAAATATAACAGAGGCCTTTTTGTATGAGCTGGCGGATTTGCGGATCCCAGAGCGCCTTGAAGTGGAAAGTATGACTTTGTACTGGAAAAAAGTAGAATGAATAATAATTCCACGTAAGTCATAAGCTCACATATATACTGACTGAGTACGATTATAAAAGTAGAGTCGTGGCCACTGCGTCTCACAACGTTCCTTCTCATTTTATTATTATATTTTTGATTTTTCATTAAAACAGCTTTGAAAATGTTTACAATTCTGCAGCTATCAATCGGACTTGAAACTTTTTAGCTTAAGTTTACTATCTCCCAGTGGGTACACTGACCACTCTAGCAGGAAAAAACGTTTGGCTCCTAAAATTTTCAATATGTATATGAGCATTTCAGCGGGTCGAAAACGTACGTTCGCTCGATTTTAATGCAGAAAAAACTTTTTTTTGCGTATCGATCGCATTTTGTTAGCTCCATGCTTAGTGCAAATAATGCGGTTCATCGAGTTTTAGTTTTAATAATAGCACTACACTAACATAACAATACCTTAAACGACGCCAAATTAATGCATTTATGTACAAATTTTTTTTCGACTTTTCCTGAGTTTTTAAAGTCAAAATTTCGTAAAAAATATCGCACAAAGATCACCATTTTTGCATTTCAATGCTTTAGATTTCCCAGACGGTAAGCTGAAATCACAAAGTGTTTGGGTTTAACTTCTAGCTGTTTTAATTATCTTTTCAAAATAGCAAGGTTCTTTACAGCCAGACGTAAGATACTAGAGTTATGTGAAACAAGCGCTACCTCTGAAAAAAGCTTAAAACAAAAAATACCAGTTTTCAAAAATCCTTTAAAAAAAGTTCTGCCATAGAAAAAAAAAAATATCATGAAACCATTTCTAAGCCCCAAATCTTTAAGAAAAAGTTCGTTATGTTCCTTGAGGAAAAATCGTGTTGACTAGTGTAATTGAAAAAAACATGCGGTCGCGAACGTACGAAAAATAGAAGTCGACTTTTGCTCAATCTAGTAAAATGAAAAAAATCTGCGAATTGGAACGAAATATTCTAAAGCGAAAAATTTAGTTTTAAAGAGGATTAATGTAGCTTTCTATCGAGTATATTCACATTAAATTATCTGCACTGGTTTTCTTTAATTGAACGCGAACGTACGATTCTTCCATGTGTGTCTTTTTTTCCACCTCTCGTTTTCCACATAAATCATTTCATATTTCCTTAAAAAAAAAAACACTTATTACTCCATTTTATGTGTGTAATAACATTAATAGCAAGAATAGAAAATTTTCATTCTCTCAACTGCAAATCATCTGCAAATATTTATTTTCGTGTTAAAAAATGAGAAGTAAAGGTTTTATATTTAAATTAGTAACACCAAACTTACTTACTTGCATTCAATGCGAAGCAATTACAATAAAATTATGTTTTTGGTGGCGATCGCACGTTTAGAACATTGATAAGAAGAGCGAGAAGGAACGTGTGGATCACTCTACCTATACCCGTACTCAGTCAGTATAAACATTTTTGAGCTTATGATATTTTAGAATTAAAAAAAAATATTTTACATTTTACATCTACAATGTGTATTCTACATCTAACATGTATTTTGTAAATGTACCATTTAGATTCTACATCATCTCCGCTAGAGGGCGAAAGAAGAAAGAGAAGGAGAAGCGGGTCTTTGGCAGGAGGAGGCGGGGGAAGGAACAGGAAATTAATTTCTTCATTCTGGCTATAATTATGATCCGATCTGATTCAGATTCGGCAATCTGGTAGATATGGTAGATATATTCTCTACGATACTGCGTTCCTAGTTTTAACGTATCTTTAAAATTGTGCCTGGCACATATTTTCCTCCTTTGTGGGGGCGGAAGGGGGCGTGGCGAAATTTTGAAATACACTTGTAGCAGTGTGATATCACATGAGTCTTAAAACCAAATTTGGTTACCCTAGCTCGTACAGTCTTTGAGATCCAGCCGACAAACAAGACAAACGGACGGACAGACAGACATGGCTATATCGACTCGGCGATTGATGCTGATCAAGAATATATATAATTTATGGGGTCGGAAACGTTTCCTTCTCTGCGTTACACTTTTACCACAAATCTAATATACACCTTAATTCTTTTTTGAGTACGGGTATAAAAAATAAATACGAATCCATATTTTTTTGTATAAAATAAAACAATAAAATGAGATAAATGAAGACAAGCATTTAAAAAATGTATTCTTCACATCTTTCGAAAAATTGAATATCTAGAGATTTAGTGTTTCCTATGGTTTTTTTTCGGAATCTTTCGAGTCTGAATACTAATAGATACAGATATAGGCAGCCCGCCAATGTGCTTTTATTCTTGTTATGAAAAGCTCATAAGCATTCGTCTGTATATGTTCATCATTAAAAAGCTCAGAACAAACTGCGCACACGTCACGCGCACAATAAAGCTAAACCATCCTTTAAAAGCTGCAGCTACTTCAGTCACCGCTTTGTTGTCAGAATAATCGGTAATATTATAACAGGCATGAAAAATGTGTTTCCCTCGTTTGATATATATTGTTGTTATTAATTACTGACGAGCTGGACTAATATGGTAAATACATAGAATGTACATATATGTCTGTCAAGAAAAATAATTTTTACTGTTATTATGACGCTAATAAAATAGAGACGTACAGTAAAAAAGGCTAGCAGAAATTCAAGTGGTAAGTTATTACTACAATAAATCAAGAACTAGAGAAATTTAAACCTGTATTCAAAAATAAGTGTCTTGAGTGAACGGAAGCGCAAGAAAAGCAAAGAAAAAATATTTAGCGACATTTAGGGCTATTACACACTTACGCGCTTGTTAAAGAAAGAATTCGAAAGTATATATACATGTGAAAATTTTTTTGGATCAACACCAATTGCCGATTTAATATAGTCAAGTTTGTAAGTCCGGATGTGTTTTTTTGTTCCGTTGTAAAGTAAGATGTTAGAAAATATTTGTTTCTTAATCGTCTTTTCTTAATAAAATTCAATATGGTTTTCGACTTTTTCTTAGCTAAGCGATATTGTAAACAATTCCAGAGACCGTTCGTTACTTCGAGTAAAATAGGTCAATTGGGTTTGATTTCCTTAAAAAACAAAATAGTTTTTCAAGACAGCCAATAGTAAAACGAGAAGGAACATGTGAGTCGCTTCTGGGGACGCGACTCTACTTATACCCGTACTCAGTCAGTATTTACATTTTTGAGCTTATGATTGTTTATAATTTTAGAGGGCGCTCGCGCACTGAACGCGGCAGAGTGTGCGAGCGAGAAAGAGAATGAGTAGCGTGAAACTGACTGGCGGTGGCGGGGGAACCAACACAAAATAAATTTTTCCATTCTGGCTATAATTATGATCCGATCTGATTCAGATTCGGCAATCTGGTAGATATGGTCATTCATTACGATATTGTTTTCCTGTTTTTTAGTTTTATAGTATCTTTAAAATTGTGCTGCCACAGATTTTCGTCCTTTGTGGGGGCGGAAAGGGGCGTGGCGAAATTATGAAATACACTTGTAGCAGTGTGATATCACATCAGTCTGGGAACAAAATTTGGTTGCTCTAGCATTTATAGTCTCTGAGATCTAAGCGCTCAACAAGACTGATGACGGACGGACCGACCCACGGACGGACAGACGGACATGGACTCGGCTATTGATGCTGATCAAGAATATATATACTTTATGGGGTCGGAAACGTTTCCTTCCCTGCGTGGCACACATCCACTTTTTCCAAAAATACAATATACCCCTTAACTCTTTTTGAGTACGGGCATAAAAACACAATTCATTATAGGCCCAAGTCTGTCAAAAAAAAGTTGTTTTGACGCAAGTCAGAACTGTTACATAGTTTAATAAATTTTCAATATTAATAAAGACGCGAGCGCGAGATAACAAGTTATATGCTGTAACTGCAGAAACGAAGAAGTCGGGATATACCTGGTCGAAATAAATTTTGAAACACTCAATTTTTTTTATATAAAATCTTAAATGAATATCTTTTTTTCTAATGAAATATGAATTGCTCCCTCAGAAATAGTTGTGCACTGGAACGAAAATATTTTTTTGAAATTTTGTTATTAGGCGAAAAAAGTATATTTTTCGTCACTGAAGATAACGTTTTGCCATTCACTTGTCCAAAATTTGTACTTTTCTGCAAATATCAGACGAGATGTTTCATGCCTTGGTAGAAGCATAGGTTTGCGAACCATTTTTCCATATTTAATGTTATTCTCCGAGCTTAATATTTGCTAAATATTTAGTCTTAGATAATTAAATTTACTTACACAGCTAGTAAGAATCAAATAACTTTTCTTACGCCAGGGAGATATCTTCCTTCAAGATAAGCGTCTCCCCAAGTCAATTTGAAACCATTCGTTCCGCCAAGTTTTGGCCGGATCATTTGGTGGTTAAAGAGTTTAAGGCTAAGAAAAAGAATAGGCCCCCCATTACTCTTCCTAGCATTCAGACCAGTGCTCCATCTCCATCCTCATCTTCCACCTCTACTTCCACCCATCCAAAAAACTAACTTCCTCTCTTGTAGTTACCTACCAGAATGCTAGAGGCTTGCGTTGTAAGCTCAGAACTCTTTTCCTTGAGAGTCTCGCATTCTCGTCCCACGTTATTGTGTTCACCGAGACCTGGTTAAAGCCGGACATCCTTAGTTCCGAAGTTTTGGCAGGTCGGTACACAATTTTTAGAAATGACCGTTCGTCTCGACGTGGAGGTGGGGTCCTTATTGCAGTGGACTCAAACTTCACGTCGGAACATTTCATGGTTCAGGTTCAAGAAAACTGATTCTCCCAAGCTTTTCCATTTTCATTACTTGCTCGTATATTCCACCTTCCTCGGATATCTTAATATACGAGCATCACCTGTCCGCTTTAAAAACTGTTTCTTTCTCGCTATCAGATAAAGACCATATGATAGTTCTTGGTGATTTCAATTTGCCAGGTACTGTTTGGTCTTCGGTAAACTAGTCTAATAACCTTGTGCCCATGTCACGGCATGACTTTATCGACGGCTTGCTAGACCTATCCCTGTCTCAAGTCAACCATGTGAAAAATTCCTTGGGTCGATTGCTTGATCTGTGCTTTGTCTCGGATCCGACCATAGCGTTGTTAACCCGAGCCCTTCCGCTCACTACACCTGAAGACTCCTACCATCCCACATTCGAAGTGTCAGTCGATATTGGCCCTACTGTATTGGATCGAATGGGTAGGCTATCTGAACGTGTCCGCTGCTTTCGTAAAGCCGAGTTTACGAAGCTTAATAACCTCATTAGTGATTTTGATTGGTCCGCCCTGTATGTGTGCACTGACGTTATGAAAGGCACTACCATTTTTTACAATGTACTTGACACATTTTTTTATTCTTGCGTCCCACTTTCTTGTCCGGTTAGATCTTGGAAGCCTCTTTGGCTTACCAAAGAGTTATCCAGTCAACAAAACTTAAAATCAAGGCTTTATAAAAAATTTCGAGAAGTTGGTTCTCCCTCTTCTCTCTCTCCCTATGTAATAGCTCGAATTTCTCCGTTCTTAACGCTCAATGCTACAAAAATTACCTATCTCGATGCAGGATACGATTTTCACAGGACCCTAAACAGTTTTTTAGCTTCGTAAATATTCCGCTCCATAAGAAAGGTGGCAATTCTGATGCAAATAATTATAGATAATTATAATTATTATAATTATATAATTATATTTGCAAATCCTTCATTTCTCCGTCTCGGCACGGATTTATAACCACAAATTTATTAGAGTTTACCTCTTTTATCATTAAGGGATTCCAACTTGCACACGGATGTCATTTACACTGATTTCAGTAAAGCATTCGATTCTGTAAATCATTCCCTTCTAGCACAAAAACTAGACCTTTTAGGGTTTCCGCCTTATCTTTTGAGATGGCATTCTAGCTACCTTCGTTCTAGGTCTTAAAGAGTCCTCTTCAAAAACTCCTTCTCTTCACCTTTTAAGGTTACTTCTGGAGTACCACAGGGCAGCCATCTAGGCCCCCTACTATTCACACTCTTTATTATTGACCTGCCTTTAGTATTAACAAACTCTCGAGTACTCATGTATGCGGATGATGTTAAACTTTGTGTCCAGTATAAGGACATTTCATTTCACTCTCGCTTGCAATCCGATCTCAATAACTTTCAGTCATGGTGTTGTGCAAATATGTTACACCTAAATGCCTCGAAATGCAAAGTAATGACATTTCATCGCTCCAGCCCCCTTTTGGCTCCTTATAGCCTCTGCGGTGGTTCTCTTGAGAGAATTACCTTGGTTGATGATCTTGGTATTAAATTAGACCCAAAGTTAAAGTTTTCTGAACACATTTCTACCATGGTAAATAAGGCCATGGGCTTGGGTTTATAAAAAGGTGGTCAAAGGAGTTTGACGATCCCTATATAACGAAGACTCTCTATATCTCGCTTGTTCGTCCGATTTTTGAGTACAGCTCTTGTGTATGGTGCCCCCAGTACAAAGTACAACAGGACTGTATAGAATCAGTACAGAAAAACTTTTTACTTTTTGCTCTGCGTGGCCTTAACTGGGATGCTGTTGTGAGACTGCCATCTTACCCTCGTAAACCTTCCAACCTTAGTTAGTCGTAGAAAAATGCTTGGTGTGATTTTTATGCACAACCTGATCAAGGCTGACGTAGATAGCCCTGACTTTTGAGCCGCATTAAATTTTCTATTAGATTTACTAGAAACTTTATTTCTTTGTTCCTTCCACTTTGTAGATCAAATTATTCCGAACCATTTAGGGTCCTATGCCCGGACTTCAATTCCCTCTACCATATAATATCCACCACAAATTCCCTTCCTCTTCTTAAATCACTTGTTAACACTGCTTTCTCTCCGTGTACACACATACACTTGCAAGGCTCGTCGTTCTTTCGCATCCCGTCATGAGTCGAACATGTCGACAATATGGCGAGTGGCCCGAATGCCTCAGGTCCTCGATCCGAAGACCTTAGGACTAGCGTGACCTTTTATGGTATTTTAAATACTTTATGGTATTTTTCGATGCCAACATTGAGCAAAAAGTATTTTTTTTTATCATTGTATATACTAGCATTTTTGAACAACTTCCGGGTATATAATGATATTTTTCGACTTGGTCACTTTGTTGTTGAAAGCGTCACGCATTTTTTTCGTTCGTGAATCCTAGTAATCAGATCCCAAAACTGTTTGCTAGCAAACAAATGTCTTATATTCTTCTAGCGGCCAGTGGTGTCACCAGAGGTGTGCACTGCATTCCGTACGGTTACACTGCTTAGACAGCTGCTAGGTTTTGTTTAAAGTTAATAAAGTGCACTTCTTCGCATGGGATCGCTCTTCCCCAGTCATTTCCTGGGCTCCCCAATATTTTATTGGCAAGGTAATGTGTCTGACTATCAGCAGCAGTAGATGGCGACAGCTCCCGTGCCGACCACCGTGAAGACAAAATGTTTTGAAAACAATATTTGTTTTATATTCCCTAAAATTAATAAAAATAAAATATCTTAATATCCATATAGGCTAGGTTAAGGCGGTAGTTGGTGAGAGGGGGAAATCCCCCCACCTCAACTCACTTGGTCCTGCTACAGCACCGTTGTGATGCCGCAAGGGCGAGTACCTTTCTCCCCTACACCGTGGTGAGCAATCTGATTGCGGAGTTAAGGGC